ACAGGAGAGAAACCCTTTGAGTGTCCTGATTGTGGTAAACATTTCAGTCAGAATTCCAGCCTGGTGAAACACCAGAGAACTCACACAGGAGAGAAACCCTTTGAATGTTCTGATTGCGGAAAAAGTTTCAGTCAGAATTCCACCCTGGCGACACACCAGAGAATTCACACAGGAGAGAAACCCTTTGAGTGTCTTGATTGCGGGAAAAGTTTCAGTCGGAATTCCAACCTGGTGATACACCAGAGAACTCACACAGGAGAAAAACCCTTTGAATGTCCTCATTGCGGAAAAAGTTTCAGTCAGAATTCCAGCCTGGTGAAACACCAGAGAACTCACACAGGAGAGAAACCATATGAGTGTCCAGAATGTGGGAAAGATTTCACTATTAGGACTGGCCTTCTAAATCATATGCTTATACACATAGGGGAGAAACCATTTGAGTGCCCCGAATGTGGATGGTGCTTCAGGAGAAAATCCACCCTTATTGCACACAAGAAAATCCACATGAGGCCCCAAGTGATGAGTGTAGAAAAGGTTTGAATTTCATTTCTAAAGTCCCTCTCTAAATCCAACTGAGAAACTGACTATTTAATTTGACTACAAAGAATTTGCCTAATTTTTTGTAGGCAAATATGTAATGGTATTAAACGGGAAGGAGGAAGGAAAAAATGGCAACATGTTAAGTGTGATAATGCCTATCTGGTCATTAGCAGCAGAACTTGCTTGATATGGGTAGTTCTCAGGTTACAAATGTAGTGGATCTGCCCTTTCCATCCGAAACTTTAGAAGTTGTGGTAGTGAATCTCTTACATTGAACGACATCACTCCCTGCTTTCGCCCACATGTTCATTGTTTTCCTGCTTCAGATCAGTTGGACAAGGCATCTGGCGCCAAGAAAGCAGCCCTGAGAGGCAAATCACTTGAGGATTGCGTTCCTGTAGGCTTTGGCAGCCCTTTGCAAAAAGCCTTTGTCTGTAGGAACAGGACTTTGGAGGGACACACCCACTCCTCCCAAGCTCAGTTGGTGCCAACAAAGGCAGTTTGCAAAGGGCTGCTGACGCCCTATAGGAATGCAATCTTCCAGGGAGGAGCCAATGTCGCGACGAGATGGTTGTGTGGTCTCAATGATCTGAGACCATAGCCAATACTTTTGCCACTGGGTTGTCCAAATGGACCTAAACTGTCCTGAAGAGATGGTGAACAGGAAGAATATCAGTATTTTTTTAAAGTTTTTTTTAAAGTTTTTTTTTTAACTTTTGTATTATGTGTTTCTTTTAATGTTGTACGCCGCCCTGAGTCCTTGTGAGAAGGGCGGCATATAAATCGAATGAACCTAAACCTAAGAATACGTCTTGCTGATCTCGGGGATATCACAAAATCCTCAAAAGAAACAAGAGAAGTTTTTAAGCCAGTGACAAATGCAATCTTCCAGCAGGCTTTGGCAAGAAAATGGCAAATGGAGGGAAGGCCTGAAAGACTGAAGTCTTCCCTCCATTTGCAAATGTCCACGCCTCAATTCACAGAGAATAGATGTCTAAAGTGTGAGATTACTCAAGACTACTGACCTTGCGTGATCTTGCGGTACGTTAGGACTCTGTCCTCTGTGAATGCTGGCAAATAAAGCACAACAGAGAGATCTTTGCAAGGTAAGTCACTCTCCACAGGCAAAATGCCTGTGAAGACTCCACTGGTGGTGGGGAGAATAGGGGTGAATATTACAGAGCCTCTGCGGTCGTTCGTAAGGATGAACAACAGCCGTGTTGTTCCAGTACTCATAATTTCGGGATTTGTTTGTAAATGCTGGGGGGAGGGTTATTGAACATTTGCTAAGAGAACNGGTCTCTCAGGTAGCCAGGTCCAATACCATGTAGGGCTTTAAAAGTAATGACTAGAAGGAAGGATTCAAATACAAAAAATGGACAAATATAATGAATTACACAATGGATTAGTAAGAACCTCAACTACACCCAAGCAATTTATTGGAGGTTTCACAGTTATTTTGAAAATACTGTGTATGCATTCCCTTGTATAACATGTTGGAATTTTTTTCTTTGGAAAACAAAACAAATATATTTATCCCCCAGTAGATTTCCAGGAAGACAAGCAGCATGTTGAGCTAAGTGAGTTCACCCAATCCCTTTTGAAAAGTCAGTTGTGCTCTTGGTTGATTTCCTGTTACTCAGCATTATTAAGTTAGTTGAGATCCTGATAATGCTAGAAGAGAGGAAATCTTTTTGGTATTTCCAGATACTAAATTCAGACAGATAATGACAGATACTGTAGCTCCAGGCATGAAATCCTATTTTCTTTGCTACCAGTTTGGGAGCACTTCTGGGCATGCGTGATGACGTCAGCTTGGCTACCACTACCGGTTTAGCTTTAGCCAAACCAATGATGACATCAGCGCCACCACCGCTGCCAGTTCGGCAGAACCAGTGCGAACTGGCAGAATACCACCTCTGTGCACATTGCTATCAGTCAATGTGTCCTCTACAGTGATAACGTCTCTTTTGATTGTTAACTGCTCTTTTACAATAAGAAGAAAGAAAACAAAAGAAACGATGTTACAGGAAATAAAATCTTTAACTGGAGGCATAACATGCATATAGTTTTATAAACTTTGATTCCATCTCCCATTGTATCCTGTTGAGAACAAAGAATATAAAACCTTTGTTGGCCTTTTGGCAATAATGAAGCTTGATTTGATAGTAAAACTGCAACTGTCTACTCACTTTCCCCTTGTGAAATCAAGATGAAATTAGGTAGCTTTCTGCTTGGTATGGTTTTTATGAAGGACTAATGCAGGGGTCCCCAAACTTGGCAACTTTAAAACTTGTGGACTTCATCTCCCAGAATTCTCCAGCCAGCATAACTCCAGCATAAAATACCTGGCTGGAGAATTCTGGGAGTTGAAGTCCACAAGTCTTAAAGTTGCCAAGTTTGGGGACCCCTGCATTAGTCCTTCATAAAAACCATACCAAGCAGAAAGCTACCTAATTTCATCTTGATTTCACAAGGGGAAAGTGAGTAGACNGGACTATAGGGATGAAGATCAAAAGTCTTCCAGATGTGGTTTCTAGTCTCCAATTACCATGCCTGTTATCGGTTTCATGGAGTCTTAGAAAGAGGGTAATAGATTGCAAAATCGGGAACATTGCACATCCCTATGTTATCAGAGGAACATCTACCTCCCTGTCCATCAAACAATATATACAAATCTGTATTTCTAATTTTTGGGCAGGAAGCTGGATCCTTACTATTTTAACTAGAGCTGGACTACAGAATGAAGGCTTGATAGAAAGGTAAAGATTTCTAACTATAAGGGGTCAAGTGATTTCTCTGGTATAAGCATCTTGTTCTGGGAAGTCATGGAACCAATGGTCTGCCAGTGAAGTTCTAAATGGTCTGGAGTTCATCCTGTTGGAACTGTTCCCATGATTAATTAAAATGATTGATGGGGTTTTCTTTAGCATTGGCTGTGTCCCTGCAGGTTTAAAGGAGGCAGCTATAAGACTGGAGGACAGTGCTCAGGGTAGAGAGCAAAGAAGATGTCTCTCCAACAGGCTAAAGTGACCAGTATTCAAACAATCTCATTCCTAAAGGATCATTAGTCTGTGCAAGCAACAGAACAGAGATTATAACTGTCAGATTATATCCATGGCAAAAAAAAACCTGTCAGGATAAAATGGAGTACACCAATTTAACATTGGTACAGCTAAGAATGCCTTATGGTTGCCTCAGATTAGTGCAACATCATGAAGACACAGCAGAAAGAGAAGTTGTTAGAAAATGTACACCACTCAGGGATGGGCTGCTGATGGTTCGTAGGGTTTCGGGAGAACCTCTAGCTAAGATTCTTTGCAGTTGCGAGAACCCCCAAATCCTACTCCTGGCTGGCCCTGCCCACCCACCCTGCTTGTCCCAGGAATCCCCACATGGCTCGTTTTCGATGCAGGTAAGTGTAGGTCATGCATGAAGGCTCGGGGAGGGTGAAAAACAGACCTACCAAAAGTTCGGGAAGGCCAGAAAAGGGCCCACTTCCTGCCTCCAGAAGACCTCCTGAGCCTGAGGAGGTCATTTTCGCCCTCCTGGAGGCTCGAAGAATGCTTTCAGAGCCTGGGGAGGACAACTCACCTACCCCCTTTGTGGTGCAGGAGGTCAACTAGGCCATGGCACCATGCCCACGCCCACCCAGCAACCTGGCAGAGAACCGCTTGCTAAAATTTTTGAAGCCCAACCCTGATACCACTCTACAAAAAGTGCCTTTTAGATGAAGGTGGCNGACCAGGGCCCTGACAATTCTTGCCATCTGGCCCTGGAGTGGAACTAACAGGGCCGGAAGGAGGGATCGCTGTGACATAGCGGACCCTCCTTCCCCGGTAATGGCTAGCCCTGAAGTTCCCGTTGTACCTGCCCCTCCCCGTAATGACCGTAATGCTCCGGCCCACCCCCCGCAACCGTAGACCTAATTTCCCCTCTTGCGGCCTCTGCTCCTTCTGGGAGGCGATTTATATCAGTCATTCTAGGATGGGAGGTAGGCCTGGCCCCCCTACCACTTCTGCAATAGCACTCAGTGGAGGAGGCACCAGACTATACTCCCAATCCTCGCATACGTACACAGCCACTCATCCATACAGTCCCCCATAAGTCAGTTAAAAACATAGAAAATACAGCAATAATAAGATTTTAAAAAGTGGGTACAGACACACCATCCACACCACATTCGTAAAATTTGCGGAGCACTGCGCTAGTGCGGTTTAAAATAGACGGTGATATAGAAGGAGGAGGGAGAGCTGCTCTGCTCCTCTCCCTTCCTCCGAGTCCCAAAAAGGCACCCAAGGCCAAAGGTCCAAAGTCCGTGTTGGGTAAGGTGCCATTTCCTGCCGTTAGTCCAGACAGGCTCAGTCCCAGGGGGGCGTAGAAGGAACAGGGCAATGTTCAAAACAATGATGGCCGGGGTAAGGGGGGAGTGGGGGAAAAGGGTCCAAAAGTCCAACGTCCAACAGTTCGGGGATAATTGGAGTGGTAGCTGGCCCAGACAGGAGTATGGTTGTAAAGAATCTTCCTGTGGGGCAGCAAATGATGAATAATGGGTAGCAGAGGGGGCCGGAGATGATGAGTAATGGGTAGTAGAGGAGAGGGGGGGAGAGTGGGAAAGTCTGGGGGAGGGTGGGAAGGCTGTTGCAACAGCAGCAGCCCAAACCAGCCGCCCAACCATGATAGGCATAGTCCAGTTGGTAACAAACCGCATGCCGCTCCTCCTCAGCCCCAGCGCATCACATTTACCCAGTCAGGTCTGTGGCCGGTCTGTAGTCCAGTGCAAGGTTGAATATTGCACGCCGACCTGATATTACATCAGATCATCATTTATTTTATAAAAAGAAAGGCAAAACGGAGAAGTCATGTGTGAAAAATGTATGACTCAATAATTTGTAGAACCAACTTTAGCAGCAACAACTAGAAGTAATTCTTTTCTGTGTGACTTTATCAGTGTCTTGAAGTGTTGTGGAGGAATTTTGGCCCTCTCTTCTTTACAATATTGCTTCAGTTCATTAAAGATTTGTGGGTGTTTTTTTATGCACAACTCTCTTGAGGTCCCTTGTCGTCCTCCCCGCCCAAGCGGCAGCGGCTCCATGGGACATGGAGTAAGGCAAACTCCCTGTCAAACAGTAAGGCAAGCTGTGGAATCGGAATCAGACAGGTGCAGTAACCAATGTCATCCATGCCCTTGGTGCGCTGCTCACTTAC